ACTACTTCACCCACCCAGGGTTCGTTGAGATCACCACCAGTTTCCCTCCTTTCCGCCTCCTTTTCCCGTATCATCAACTCAGTGTCGTTCCGTGGCCGGCCATAGCCCCCTATTGGCCCAATACGTTTTGCGTGAACTGCTGACGCAACGGCGCGCAGAGCACTCCGGAATTCCAAAGGCCCAACCCAGGTACGCGGCGGCCTGTGCCACGTGGCAGACCCCGACAGCCTAACTTTCCGGGACCACCTCCACCACGGAGGAATTTTCCCGTAACCCGTCGCCCACAGTGTCCCGGCCCCTTCGGACTGTGAGACCCTTGCGTGCGCACCCCTCGCTCGCCTAATTGCATTCATATCCTTAAGACTCCCCCACTTCCCCCAAAAATCCTTGGCACACCCCTTTTCGCACTTCCAGGCCCACACTCCACTCCGTTCAGGAAGTCGCGTTGGGTGTGAGGTTGGTATCGGAGCCCGACACGTGGTTAGGGTCTTAGGATTGATAGCACGTTAATTAAGCGACCTGGCTAACCGTGGGCGACCTCGCCCTCGGAACGCGTACAGCCGCGACCCTATCGTCACCAGAAGCAGATCAGCTAACCGACGAGCAGCCAACATGGCTGCCAACGTGCAAAATCCAGTTCCGCAACAAAATGCTAATCCACCTAACCAACCTGCCCCACATGCATGAGCTCCCATGACGCCACCAGATCTCTATCTGTTTGATCCAGCGCACCATCTCGCAGGAGCATGGCTGGCCACGCTTAGAGCACAACAGTACAACGATCACGAAGCACAAATCAACATTCCGGCTCGAATGGGAGGAGACGCTCATCACTGGTATAGTACCTATGTGTGGGTGGATCTCCCGACCTTCGAACGGGACTTTATGAACCGATTCGATTATGTCCACCCTGAGCAAGCACTGTACATGATCAAGGATCGAGTGCAAAAACCGCTCGAATCCGTCGCGGAATATCGAAACCGGTTCTAAAGAATGTTCGTAAAGACTAAGCGAGGTGAGCAAGTCGGGAGAGACTTGTTCATTGACGGACTCCGCAGTCGAACGATAAGGGCAAAGTTGCGAAAGCAATTTTCCCCCATCACTCATACACTACAACAAATTATGGTTGTTGCGGAAGAAATGGAACGGGAGTTCGCAGCGAACTTCCTGGAAGGAGAAGATTACCCTAGAGACGGAGATTCAACTGAGCTCGCTCAAGCAAGAGCAGAGCTGGCTGCTTTACAAAACAAATTCGAAAACATGGGGTTCGTATCAGGACCTGTCACCTATATGGAACAGATAGGCCCCAAACGAGTAATCCTAAGTGAGACTCCGAGCATCTCTGCTCCTACGATGCCCCCGCCTGTCAGGACATTACCCCCGCCGCCGGTAGAGGCTCCTGTACGATCAAACGAATCGGCGGCCATTTTTGAACTAACCAAAACTTTGATTAGTTTGATCCAAGAAAGCAAAAAGGAGCAGCGAGAGCACAATGCTCGGCTAGAAGCCATGATGAGGAACATGCGACCCATTGCGGTGCGTGCCCCTCCGATGCAGCAAGGATTAGCCCCGGCCCCTGCGCTCGGAGGAGTCGCAAACAATCTGAATGTCTGTTACGCCTGTCATCAACCAGGCCATCCAGCCCATGATTGCCCCCACCGGCCCCCACAACAGCGGACCGGAGCCGCACCCATGGTCGCGGCTCCCATCGCCAACGGACCTGGACGAGTCGGAGCCTTGATGGAAGAAGTAGAGGGTGGGGGAAGTGCCCTGGCCACCACGGAAGAGGCCGCCGAGCTAATTCCGCTAGATCAGTACGTATCGCTGGGATATCCTGGGTTAGGAATGATCAGAACAATTAGACAGCGCCAGAACCAAAAGAGGTGGCGGAGTGGCGACCGTCCTTAGGAGAGATGGAGTCGTCAGGACCCACCTTCGTCATAGGGGAGATCGATGTATTAAACATTATCCGAGCTTTGGACCATCGGATTCCCCTTCCGATCGGTCACCTACTCTCGATCTCCGAGCAAGCCAACGAGCGAATGTTACAACAGTGCAAAGCGAATCGAAAGCGATTTGCCCTCGCCCGAGCACCGAACATAAAAACCAAAGGCCCCGCGCCGGAAGAAGACCCAACAAACACTCCAGATCCGATACGGTTAGGATTAATTCAGAAAGACGATCATTTCCTACGGATTAAACCCATTCCGTGGAAATCCGCAGAGTGCGATATAAAAATTTGGGGAATTCCTTACAACGCCATTATAGACTCAGGAGCAGCTGTATTGGCTATTTCACTGAGAGTGGTCGAAAGGGCAGGCAGGAAAAACGATCTGATCATGCTCATCGAAAAATATCAGCTCGTTTCGGCAGATGAGGAAAAAATTAAAACTGTGGGGAGAATGACCAATGTTGCCTTCCGATTAGGAAAAGTACATGCGCTTGGGGATGTCGTAGTACTAGATGTTAATACGTACAACGTTCTTTTTGGACTTCCTGCTCTTGTGGCATTACAAGCAAACCTGGATTTCGAACGACGATCGATCGTCCTTCGAAATACAGGAGGGAGACCCTACGCTATGCCCATGCGATTGACCCTTCGCACTACTATTAACGCAGTTCCGAGGGTTTCGCCGATGATGGCAGGGACTCTCCGCATGATCTCCTGGGACGAACTCGCTGAAGGAAAGTCATCAACTGAAGATGCGGAAAGTAGTGACGAGGATGATCCGGAGATCTTGAAATTGGTACGACAACGCGTTTACTACCCGCCGCCCAAAACGATAGCAAGAACGATGCAATTGACCAGCCGAAAAATCCAAAGGACCAAGGCGATGATCTTGGGAGAGTCCCTCGTGCAGATTTCGAGGATGATCGACTCTTTGGAACCCCCTCAAACTCTGTATGAAGGGATCACCCCTCTCCTCGCCAGGTACAGCGACAAAAAGCATTTTTGCGATATTACGGATTTACCTAAGTCTTTACTAACATCGGCTAAAGAAGTGAGATTGTTGCGCTTGGGGGCGGAAGCAAGCTCTCTGGAACCCCCTGGGCGTTTCGAAGCAGAAACAGACGGACGGGGGATAAAGATCGCAACAAAGGAAGTGCCATGGCAGGATGTTTGTGACGGGATTACCCCGGAAGGACACGTGGCAATCCGAGAAGAAGATGCTTAGATGATGGCCACGGTGTTCTCCTGGCGATCGGATCATTCATTCATCTCGGCGCCTCCACCCGATTTGACAAAACAGGCGAATACGAAACAGATTGACGTTCGAATCTGGGACCAACTTTTCAAACTACACGTTCCACAATACGTGCCGGATGAAATCCACCGGGTAATTGCGGATATTCTAACGGAACACCAAGGAGCAATTGGTGTGTCAGACACTGACATCGGGTTGTCGTTAGTAATCCAACATGAAATTTAGACAGGGAATCACTCCCCAATTTATTGCAAACCTTATCGTTATTCCTTGATTGAACGCAAAAAGACTCTCGAACGAATTCGGGAGTTCGAAGCCAGTGGTTGGATTGAACCCGCTACCGGACCTTGGTCCTTTCCCGTAGTATTAGTGCCGAAGAAAAATGGAGCGATTCGCATTTGCATTGATTATCACAAGCTGAATGAGATCACGATCAAAGATGTGTATCCCCTCCCCCGGATTGATGATTTGCTGGATGCGATTGGATGTGCTAACTACTTTAGCAAGTTTGATATTCGGCATGGTTTCCATCATATTCTGGTAAGGGAAGAAGATCGACTGAAAACGGCCTTTGTGTTATTTGAGGGCACGTGGCAGTGGGTTCAGTGTCTGATGGGAATTTGGAATGCGCCTTCCACGTTTCAACGAGCAATGAACATGATGTTCCAGAATTTCGTCAACAAGACACGGCTGACGCAAGGGATGATTAACTTCTGTGTGATCGTGTACATGGACGATACCCTATCACGGGCACGTGCAACATATTGAATGGACATTGGGCGCACTGAGAGATGCTGGGTTCAAAATTGCGCTCGAGAAAAGCGAATTTTTCCTCTCAGAAATTTCGTTCTTGGGCTACGTTGTGACACGTGGAGGATTGCGGCCGGACTCGAAAAAAGTTGCGGCGATAAAGGAAGCCCCAGTTCCCACATCACTGACGCAAGTTCGAGCCTTCTTGGGATTGGCATCGTACTACCGGCGCTTCATCAAGGGCTTTGCCGCGATTGCACGACCACTAACGAATCTGTTACGGAAGGACCAGCCTCTCAGCTGGGACGCGGAGTGCCAACAGGCCTTTGCAACCCTCAAGGACACTCTGGCGACGGCCCTATTCTGATTTGACCTGACCCCTCGAAGCAGTTGACTGGCAACCGGAAGCTATTTCCGCTATTTTAGCACAGAAGGGGAACGATGGTCGCGAACTCGTCATCGAGTACGCGTCACGAACCGTGTTGGACGAACGAAGGAATGACTCTGCACCTCAAGGCGAATGCTATGCAGTGGTCTGGGGAATCCAGCACTTCCATTTGTATCTCTACGGACAGAAGTTTCGCCTCGTGACGGATCACGAGCCTCTGCTAGCTTTGAAGAAACTCACCAATTACACGGGCATGATTGGCCGTTGGGCGGTGCGACTGCAAGAATACGACTTCGATATCGTCCATCGAAAGACAGAGCGACACGGCAATGCGGACGGGCTGACAAGTCTATATCGACCTGCCAAGGACCCAAGGTACCCAAGGGCGAGGAAATTACACCGTGGAAGGAGCCGGACTTGACCAACGAGCCTAAGTACGGAGAAGTGGCAGTCCTCCCACGTGGCAAGAAGCAAAACGGTGGCGATGGGTGATGGAGGTAACCCACTACCCCTCTTTCTCCCCCTTCCTCCTCGTCTCTCCTCTCCCTGCCTGACAAATTTTGCTATTTTTGCGAAGCCATCTCCCGCGTCTATTCGGTCTCCATGTGTCCTAACGGGGAGGGGTATATCGATTGGATAGATTGTCGACAGTGTGTCGCACGAGCCCATGGCTCGTGCATCCAATACAGAAACGATAGTAAACGTGGTTGTGCCCCTTGTGCCGGACCAACAAGATTTCGACCGAGGCTCGCTTTTTGGATGCCACGTTAGAAGGATTGGAGAAGACCCGGAAGTTTAGAAGGGCCGAAGTATGGACGGATATCGCCTTAATCGCCACCCTAGTAGGTAACCCCCTCCAGGATTTCACCAAGGAAGATCGGAGGAGGGCCAACGAAAGGGCTCGGGATTATCGATGGATAGAGGGCAGATTAGAAAAACGGAAAACGGACGGCTGTGGGATTTGGATGGTGGTGCCGCATCCATTCATGCGGTATGACTGGGTTAAGACAGCCCACGAAGAAACTGCGGCTCATTTTGCTGTACGAATCACCGAGTCCGCTATCGACAAAAATGAGTGGTATTGGTCCAATATCTGCGACGATGTGAAATACATTGTCGCCAACTGTCAAGTCTGCGCCGCCGATAAGGCGCCGATTCAGCCGCCAAGATCGATAGTGCCCACGGTTGTTGAACGGCCATTTCAAAGAGTGAGCATGGACACTACCGACATAATGGTGCCCCCTGGCCCTAATAGCTGCGAATATTCAATCCTATTGGAATTTGTCGACCATTTCTCGAAATGGATCGAAGCGTATCCTTGTCGCACGCGGCAAGCCACGGAAATCGCGCGATATGTCAACCGTTTCCTCAGGATGCATCAGGATACGGAAGAAATCCTGACCGATAACGGAGCTGAATTCAGGGGAGAAGTGTTAAGGAATCTGGTCCTACATGGCGTCGCCATACGGAACACTGCACCCCACATGTCACAATCTAACGGACTGGTCGAAAACGCTAACCGGATGATAAAGGCAGCGTTACGACGAAACATCGCGGCACGGGATCCGAGACCCTGGCCCGATATCGTCGATCACATCCTGGCGGTCCATCGCGGAACGCCCCACGAATCGACGGGGCTAAGTCCCTTCCAATTAAGGACCAATAATGTCGCTTGCGTTTCAATACCAAGCCTCCCAGACGAATCTACATTGAACCGATGGCCCACCAGGGCCATGGCTAGGGACAAGGCCAAACGGCACCTAGAGCTAATGGAACGGTCACTGCCCAGGCCGGCCCAAAAACGACAGAAAATGACCGAACTAGCCCAAGGTCGACAGGTCCAAAGTTACGAGGCCCGGAATAGGAATGCGGGTCCGCGGCCCCAGTACAACTTGGGGGACGTGGTGCAGGTGAGGAAATGTGCTCGCCAGGGTAAGCTAGCGCCACGATTCTTCGGGCGATATCGCGTGATCGAGCTCGGCCCCAACGGTGTGGACACCATGCGCCTCGCCCCTGAAGTCTCTGGCAGCCGATCGGCCCGCCCGATCACACGCCACGTGGCCTATCTTCGCCTCCTCCCCTCTGCTCCGTCCCCTTCTCCATCCATCTCTTCTTCTAAGGAAGCCGAAAACGACGGTTCTGATTCTCCGCCATTTCCCTCTTCCTCTTGCTCCCCGTCACCATCACCATCGCCATGAGCTTTGCGACATAACAAGTGATCGGCGTGCGGCTTCTTACTCTGCGGGGGCGAATCAGTGTCATACGGCAGGTGCAGCGGCCCCATCTCTGCTCAGATCTCCTCCGGTTTGCGGCTTTCTTTTGTACGTCGGCGATCTACGCGGCGGCAGAGTTCCAATTCACAGAAGAAGCAACTACGCGCGTTTTGGCCGAGATCTCGGCCTTTCGACGGCTATCCCCTCCCGGGATTAGCTATATCGTTGTCATTGTCGTCTTTACGGGGGATATCACAGCGATTCCGTCGACGAATCATTCCGACATCTATCGGACGTTGCGCACTTGGGCTGGGGAAGTGAGGACGTCGTGGACGGATCTTCTGGCTCGACGAGGGGATACCATCGTACCAGCGCATGACACGGACCTCCAGCTCCGCTCGTCTCAAAGATCGCCCGCGATCGTGCTTCCGGAGCTTCGTCCCTTCGAGCCGCCCCAATAAGTCTTCGTCGCGTCTCCTATTTCGGCCTCCCCTCCAGCATCCCCACCCTTTGGCAGTCTGCACGGGCTCCCACCCACTCCTACCGTGTTAAGGAGAACAGTGCGCCGCTATTGAGTGAGGATAAGTGGGATGCGTGGTGGGAGAACTATATCGAGCTCGCTTTCTGCCTGCTGGAGATAGAGTTTCGCTGGTCAGAGGCGGCCCCATTCGGAGAAGGGCTGGAGCACCAAGAAGACAGCGTGGAGTTTCTGATCATCCAAGCCTGGAGGACAGCGAAGCAGGGTGACCTGTTGGGATTCCTGTTCGGGAAGGTGGAGGAGGGCAATCTCACCTTGATCGCGGACGAGTTGCTGGTGTTTTTAACTCAGTTGGCGGACGATCTGCCCCTGGACATCTTGTCGCACAGTGACAAGCAGCCTGGCACCCACATGCTGTCTCGAACGCTCGAGCCGCACCTTGTGTGGTCCACGTGCACGGAAATCGACGAGGACAATTGTCTCTATCCCTCCCAGGCGCTCTACTTGGAGATCGACGTTACCGATCTCACATTTTGGGACCCGATTGCGAGACAAAATATCGCGCAAGACGAGGAGATAAGGGGAGCAGACGAAGAAGAGGAAGAAGAAGAGTCATCAAGTGAGGAACGGGACGATCCGGACTACGTACCAGAAAGAGAGGCGGGGATAGCCGACGAATCAAATTTGTCGCAGGTAAAGGACGAAGGGGTGGAATCAGAAGAAGAAGAAGGAAGCGGGCTATCAGGATCGGAGTGCAAAGGATTCGAGGCTGAAGTGCGCGACACGGCGCGAGAACGAGTACGAGAGCGGAGGAAACGAAAGCACCAGGAGACCGCGGAGGGAAAGCGACCCGCAACAGACGTATTCTTTGTTGATCCGTCGATCAGGGACCCGTGGCGTGATCCAGAGCCGCCAGAGGAGGAAGACGATGGAGCCACAGCGGAGGGATCACGCGGCAGAAGAAGAAGAAGAAGAAGTGAATCGCCAGCTCCCTCCGGTTCCCCGTCCCGATCCTCCCTTCGTCTATATCAAGATCTCGGCGTTCGGGCTTCGTCCCCAGTCGTTCTCTCGCCGACCCCGTGACTACCTCATGCTCACCCGCCTTCCGCATAGACCCCCGTTCCCTATGGTTGGTGCCCTTTCCCCCATCATCTTTTCTACCATCTCTACGCTACCCGCCTTCTAGTCTCCGTCTATCCCCACGTCACTACTCGCGCTGTGGTTGACTCCTTTCTCCTTCATGTGCTCCTGTTTAGCGTAGATTGGCAGGAATATAACCACATAGAAATATACTCTATTGTGTCTGGAACTATTCCCGCCTGCGAAAATTATGAAGATTTTCGCGCCGCCCTGCGATGGACCCTCTCCACAATCTACCCCGACTATATTACCGCCTTTCGTCATCTTCATGAGGTCCCTCGTTTCCCCCCCATCCATCGCTCCTTCCACTACGCTACCCTTCCTAATTTCGCCTCTCCCGCCATTAATCACTTCATGCCCCCTCTCCCCCTGAACCATCCGCCACCTCCACCCTCGATGATCCGACTACCATTTCCCGGAAACGTCTAAGGTCTAGGGTCTTCCCCCCACACCCCCCGTTTACACTGATGCATGGTTGATGGCACGTATCACGGCGACGGCACGAGAAAGATCCCGTCTTTGGATCGTCCAGAGCCCAATCTGAGGAACTAGTAGAAGAGCAGAACTGCCACGTTGGATGACGTCCGCACGCAATCGAACGGTAAGTGGCATAAAGTGAAGTGCTCCGCGTGTCTATCGATTAGAGAAATCGACACGTGTCAACAAGCAAGCARGAGTTTGCTAATATTGGAACCCACTGGGCGTCACATATGTGACGAACCACTTTCTGTAACGCGCGAGTTTCTGCGCAGTTGCAACGAGGGGTCCTAAGCTGGGAAGATTGGGCAAATTATGGGAAATCGGGATCGGTGGAAAATTGCATCAGTACCCTTGCTTCTTCGTCTTTTTCGTCGCTTCTTCGGGGCTGGGTGTGTCCTCGGACGGCCGGTTGAGTGATTGGTCGGATGGATGTTTGGCGCGACGCCACGCGCGCGCGACTAATAAATGTCGACGTCGTTTCTTTCAGTTCGGTTTCGATCTTTTTGGGCGCGGACATCGCGAGGGAAATTGCCTCGTTCTTTTGAATTTTTCCCTTGGGTCCTTTTCGAATCTTGTCGAGCCCCACCCCCAATGGCTCTTGGGATTTTGGACTTTCCTTTTGGAATTTGTGCTTTTTGTTTTTTCACATTAGATAGGAATTTAGGAATTCAATAATTAGGATTTTTCCTGCCGCGCGGCGCCTTTTGCCTACGCGCTTCTTCATGCGGCTGCAACGGTACTCTGACTAGTGGGCGCCCTTAATCGTATGTGTAACTGTAATTTTGGGCGGGCGCCATTGTAACTGTATCTCTCCTCTTGCACTTCGTCTCTACCGCCCTCCTTCTCTTTCTTTTGCTGAAATTTTGTAAGCCGCGGCTTGCATGCTCGGATCGATGCGTGGAGAAGGGTTACGTCCCCCACGCCACGGCCGATCATGCAGAACGCAGGTGTTCCCCCTCTAATCTTCACTCTCAGTCTTGGTAACTCCGTGTTCATCGCGCATGCATGCACGCTATAAATTTCGGTTGCGCGATTAGTCAGCTCTCTTAACCCGTTGTTGGAAGCTCGGGGTTGCGCGATCAGGAAGGGTCGGCACACGAGCAAAGTAAGAGGTGAGTAGAGTAGGAGTTGGGCGACCCGACGGGCTGGTGCCGAACGTGCGGGATTGACGTGGGCCACGACGGACTGTGGGCACGGGCGAATCCGACGGGTGCGGGAGGACTAAGCGGGGTGACAACTTCGTGGGTTGGTGCGTGACGACGGACTGTCCGCATCGGAGAGAGAGAGAGAGAGAGAGAGAAAGGAAGAGAGAGTTGAGGATGATGGACGTGGATTTGCGGTTTCTTTGTCTCTTCCCCCTCTTCCCCTGTGTACATACATTTTGATTGCGGCTCCGGGCGGTTTTGCCCGTTCTTATTTTCATTTCGGCTTTCTGAGATTTGGGCTTGTTTTTTTTGCTCACACTTGTCTTTGCTATGTCCGTCCCGATTGCATTATACATATGATTATCGAATGTATGGTTGTATGAATGTGTAGAAGTGTGGGCGTTATGCCTGTTTGTATATCTTTTTGTTGAAGAATCTCTGTCCTTGCCTTTTGCTTGTGTTGAATCTTTGCCCACACCTGATGCAGTTGTAGATGGGATAGGAATATAACCCCGACAGCGATTTTGTCCTCGTTTTTGCTTATCTCACGATCGGGGTTGCGATATGGTTGCATCTTGCATAATCCGAAGCAATTAAACCGCCAACGCCGCGCGAGAACACGTGTAAACGCGATCCGAGTCGTGCCCTTACACGCATTCCCGTGCGACGACTCGCTCTCCCCCGAGGAAGGAGTCACGGCGGAACCATCGTCCCGTACGAGCACGCTGAGGCGCCACTGGGTCGGCCTGTCCTACACGTGCTCGTGCGCGGTGATGATAACCCGACCCGCACTATCCCACCGGCGATGATACCATGACGCGATCTTGGGGCTCAGACTCGTCCTATGTCCCGGACTATTTCACCCCTATAATAAACGAGCTCGTAAGGACACGATACCCCTGTCACACGGAGAATCGGCTATGTCCGCGGGAATTCCACTGGGCCACCACTAGCGACCCTCGGTGCTCCGATTTTCCTTYCCCCGACCACACCTACTACTTCACCCACCCAGGGTTCGTTGAGATCACCACCAGTTTCCCTCCTTTCCGCCTCCTTTTCCCGTATCATCAACTCAGTGTCGTTCCGTGGACGGCCATAGCCCCTCATTGGCCCAATACATTTTGCGTGAACTGCCGACGCAACGGCGCACAGAGCACTCCGGAATTCCAAAGGCCCAACCCAGGTACGCGGCGGCCTGCGCCACGTGACGGACCCCAGCGACCTAACTTTTCGGGACCATCTCCACCACGGAGGAATTTTCCCGTAACCCGTCGCCCACAGTGTCCCGGCCCCTTCGGACTGTGAGAACCTTGCGTGCGCACCCCTCGCTCGCCTAATTGCTTTCATATCCTTAAGACTCCCCCACTTCCCCCAAAAATCCTTGGCACACCCCTTTTCGCACTTCCAGGCCCACACTCCACTCCCATCAGGAAGCCGCGTTGGGCGTGACGTTAGGCATCACAAGCATTGCCCCTTAGTAATCCACCGCTGGGTGCTCCAATCTATTGGTGGGGAGCTACACCTGCAGGGAACCAGGTCCAACGTTATACCTCAACATGAACAAAACGTCTTAAGTAAGGATGACTGCAACACTTTTTTTTTCTTCTTCTTCTTTTTTAAACAAACTCCCCGGCTACTGCTAGGGGTGTTGATAAGAGCAGACACCACTAACACTCCCGAGGAGGCTCCATCTATTGGTGGGGAGCAGCACCTGCTGGAAAACGGGTCCAGCGTCCCAGAACATCAAATCAATTGTATCAATGGAGGAACATCTGAAGCAAAGTATGATTTTGGCTGCCAGCATTGACTGCCCCAGTGGACCTAGGGGGTTGACTGCGCAACTTTTTTCAGAAGTTCTGCCTCTTCAAACTCCGAGGAGATGCCAGATCTTACGTTCAATATTCAAGCAGCACCCTTCCTTTTCTCTCACTCTTCTCCCCTTTCGTACCATGATGATCCCACTATAGAAAGATCTGAGGGCGGGAAGAGATCTCGGAAATCTGAGAGGGGCCTCAGGGGGACAGATGGGTCTGAGAGAATCCAATCATGAAAGGAGAAGGTATAATCTCTAACCAGCGTTTCCTGCTCTTCCCCACTACCCAGTTCTTCCGGCTTCCCCCCTTTCCAGACCATTGTCGCCATTCTGCCTCCTTGTTCCCCCCCCAGCCAGTCTTTGCTGAAGTTTCGAATACTAGTAGTTGTTTGGATCTCCTTTTTGGAGTTAAGAAATGTCAGCTTTTCCTTTATCAGGTCCCATTGTATTGTTATCTCTGTCTGAATATGTTGCCTTATTGAATCAATAAACTCTGGACCATCATGTCGACTACCTTCCATTTCCATTGTGCAGCGGCGCCACCATATGGCCCACAACACTGCCCTCCTCCCTATTTTAAACACGTTAAGTTGGTCGTCGCTCAACTGGTCCAGACTCCAAGTTTCACAAAACAACGCTTTCCAGTCCCAGGGCCACTGCATGGAGGTGCCTCGCTGACGCTAGATCCTGTCCCACCACCTCCAGAGCCATACTGAGCCTGGGCATTGAAGAAAAATATGTTCCAAGATCTCCGGGTGCTTCCTTGAAGGGTAAGCAGTGCTGCAGAGCTTGCACCACGGAAGAGCAAGCCCCTTCTGTTCTAAATGGGTGTGGTCTAACAGGCTATCAGCCAATCATTTGTTGTCAGGCACCTGTGCTCAATCTGCCATTGCAACGACGCCAGCTTAGCAGGTTTGATCCTGTTATGTTTAACCCAGCGTATTCCCCTCAGGGACTTTTTTGCCACATTCAGCTATCTCATCCACCGAGACTCCATTTTGTCTCTTAGGTTGAGTTTTGGTCTCAACAGCCGGTGTAGGGCCAAACCCCGGTAGACTTTCGAGCCTTGGTCGACCCCACTGCGGGTTACAGTTGGCTCGGCCCGCCCACACTCATGCTCAGGGCGCGGGTCGTTCGTCCCAGGGTCGCCCCCACCTAGTGCTTTGAGATGGACGGGGGTGGGCCGTCGAGCGAGAGAGCTTTGACATTGGGGATGTAGCTCATCCCTCGCGTTGGGTGGTAGTCTCGCTGGTCATTCCACGAGCGCTGATCTTCTGATTCTTGGTTGTGTTCTCAAGCAAATGCTCCTTCCAAAACGCAGGCAGTCCAGGGGTTCTTTGGGAGTTCCTCTTCTTTTGTGCATAGGCTAGGCGTCATCCTTGCGCCACACACCATTTCCCTAAACACAACAATCCTATGGCGTCATCGGGGTGCGGCAACGCCGTCTTTCCCCTCGCCTCTACGCACCCCTCGTGCATCACACATTTCATCCATCATCATTGGTGCAAGCCCCTTAGTCCTTTCGGGGCCTTCATACGCATGCACATGCTATCCTAAAAAATGTCATTCCCATTTTAAAAATTTTCATCTTACTTGAAAACTTTCCTTCCAATAATGTGGTATCCT